CCCCTCTCTCTCTCTCTTTCTCTCTCACTGCCCACAAACAGAATTGCACGCTTTCATCATAAGTGCACTGGAACTTTTGTTCACGATGAACGCTACACTGGTTAGCTTAAAGGCTATCACAGTGAATGCACACCGGGTGAGAATAGCCAAAAGGCTCGCCGGCGCTATTCTCACCCGCGGTAAGAATAGAAGTTGCCTTTAGTTTCGTCTGAAATACTAGCCCTGGTGACCAAAAACATGTTGAGTACAGCAGGTCTCACTAGTAATTATTCAGGTTTAAAATACATGCACTGTCAGTAAGGACCTTTTGGTTTCATCTCAAATACGTAACACTTTAGAAGGTATTATAAACTAAAAATTTATTTTTACTATTCAGTAGGCCTATTTTTTTTGCTGTTTGTCAGTCTAGCCGTCATTATTAAGTACGGCTAGCCTCTTTTTACCCCAAAAGTGTCCGGCTGCAATGGTTGTTGGGTGAAAAATAGCTCGCAGGCCCAAGTGAATTAATTATATTCATGGTTTGAGATGTTTGATGTGTCTCTGTAAATGTGGAAGGAGTCTCTGTTTGTTTTGGACCATACTGGAATGCAATATATATATATGGAAGATGCTGTCTAATTTTATGTGCTTTCTCTCTTGTTTTCTTTTCAGCTTTTGCACTAAAAGCACCGAAAATGAAGATGTGGACGAAAAGTTTCAGCGTATTTGTCTTCAGCTGTTTTCTTTCACTCCCCTTGGTGTTGACCAAGAGAGTGCTCACAGAGACTGAAAGACAGATGGCAATTGACAGTGGTATTGACTTGGACTCCATTTCTGATGATACTGTGTTCATCACCCCAGCTGAATTATCGGATGAAGAGAGGGGATCGAAGTTCATGCCCACTGCGTATCGATGTGATGGATGCTCGGCCATTGCATATCAGGTTTGAAAATATTTCAGGTCTCTTTATGATATTATCCTGCACTGTGGATGTACCTGGTATGCCCTTATTAATTTGCTGCTGTTTGTGTTGGGCCTACCTGATATAGGCCTTTAAAATCTTGTGTTTTGTTTCATTTATATCTTTGCTTCTTTATGGTTTTACATGAAGAGGATTATATCCCTGTCTTTTGTGTCGGTTTGGTGTCTATTTTTAGGCTGCTATGTTTTGGAATCACATGTGGTAGTATCTAGTTGTGTTGTCTTTTTTTACCCACATCGTGCAAGTCAGTTGAAGCTGACCCATATAGATTCGGAATGTTTTTCAGTCTCAATGCTCTCAAGTTGTTGACATCATATGGCTAGTTCCAAACAGGTCTTGTCATGGGATGAAGCCATCTGTTCATTTTTCTCTTTGTTGATCTATAAGTGGACTCTGTTTAAACCAAACATAATCGGAAAACAAGAGTAAATGGAAAGAAAATAGATTTCCTGATTTTTTTTCTTCTTCTAATTGAGCAACCTTTTTAAACTGAAAATCAGCTGAATTCACTCAGAGAGACCACTATTTGTTTTAGAAAATGAGAAAAACACAGGGCCTATGCCATGGATCATCAGTCTTTATCGGGCTCTGGCTAAGTCCCCTTGAGGTTCTGTCATTGCCTTTGTTCCTGTTTTGTTATGCACAAAAGACTGATAGGTCCATTTCAAGTCTCTGTTGATGATCCCCATTAACTTTAGTGGACACTTTTGTTGATGCCAAAGAAAACAAGATTTGATACATATATAGGCCTACAAATTAATTAATATAAAAATCAATTTACTGTTTTCCTGTAAAATAAAAGAAAAAAAAAGGAATGCTTGTGAAGTAACTACTTTTGTCCTGAAATGTTGAATGGTTAACACTTTGCCATCATATTTTGGGGAAGTTCCATTAAAACTGAGTGGTAAACATCGCTAATTTGTGAGATGAGGCTGCAAAGTGTTAAGAGAATATATATTATAGTATCTAGGCCTAGTGAAAAAAACTTCTGAACAAAATTCAAATTGTCTTTAGGCCTACTGAATACACTAAGGAGAGGAACATGGTGGGCCGTAATGTTTATGCAGTTAATATAAAATATGAGCTTATCCTTCATTGATTAAAAGTTTTTTTGTCTATATTTTAGTGATATTTATCATAAGAATGTGTTGGTTTAAATATTTTGACTGGAAATATCATTTTTTATAAAAATAATGAAAAATTTGGATACAGTTTTTAAAAATAAATCCCCAAAGAAACAGACAACAGTTTAACACTAATGTGGGCTTTCATCATGAAATAAAAAAAAATTCTAAAGCTGGTAACAGACAGTGCATTCTTCAATGTAATCAGTAGAGACATTGTTTGGAGTGTTGTGAAGGGCCAGTCTCGCTAAAGGCAGTTCAAGAGATAGTCCTGTTGCTCTAAATTTTCTAGCTTTTCTTGATCACATGACATGAAGCTTGTATTTCCTCCTTTTCTTTTCCAGCTCCAGAAAAGATTTAAGGCTGCTGAGAAAAAGAAGAAAGTTGGAGACCCTCTTGGTGAGGCTGAAGTTTTGGAAGTTTTTGAAGAGCTCTGTGATGGAGAGTTTGAAAAGTAAGTCTCAGGTAGAATTCTTTTCAAAATGCAGATACTGATATTTAGTATGTGAGCACTAAGAATTTTGACTCATCTATTGTTGTTTGTGTGACCGTATTTGGAGTTGTTTGCTTTAGTTTGAGCCAAGAAAATAACAACAGCTATTAAGTGCAAAAAAGCCGGCAGATAGACCAACGCAACAGAGAAAAAAAAAGGGACAGGGATTCCTTTAGGCTTTAGGATAGGTAATTGCGCAGTTCCTTTTGGATCAGCAAAAAATGGATCTCTTTTTGACTAGTTGTGTTCACAGATTTTTTGCCTTAACTCTTTCAGTATTGCGAGCCATGTTACTTCTGATGCTGGATCGCAAGCTGTGTTTGACGATTTTCCACTTCCTGCTTCAAAACCAGACCTACTTTTGTAGTGGAAACTGAAATCTCAGACTGAAGAATAGTCATTTTTAATTTTTAGCAACATGTATTACCTTGTATTACTTGTCCTGGGCAACAACGTCATTGCACACCGGACAGGTCCATAAGTGCTCAGTTCCCCCCAGCACCAAAGCCCGCAAGGTATCTGTACTGATTGTTCTGGTGGCTGTCTGGTTATGGCGACGTCTTTCCTTTCCAGATAATCGTTCCTTTCTTCCTTCTCCCCTCTCTATCACCATTTCCGGCATCCTAATAATTGCGTGGTGTTCTTCTGTCTCCCTGTCTTCTTCATCCTGCAACTTTTTCTCCAGGGTCTTCAACACTTTTCCTTTGTCAAATTTCACCTCACCATCAACCACGGCACTGCCTGCAAGCCTATCAGCCTCCTCATTGCCTTTTACTCTAGAGTGCCCAGAACAGAATGTCTACGTGATGGGTCTAAGTGATGAGTGTTGTATTGGGTTCATCCATTCACTCCGAAGAAACCCTTTCTTAACCTTCGCAGGATGCTCTGGGAGTCTGTGACAATGATGAGATGGGTAATTCTTGGTCTTTTATTTTCAAGCCAGTCAAGCACTCTTGTTACGGCCTCAATCTCCATTTTCATGCTTGAAGTTGTTCTTTCTATGGCCCCTGACTTGCTATTAACCTTTTTATTCCCACTGTACACCGCAAAACCCCATCCACTTATCTCACCCCTCCTGACCTATCCATCCGTATAGATCACTGGGTCCTCTGGCTTGGAATGCTCCTCAACTAACTGTCGTATGTCATTGTCGTTAATGACAACAGCACATTCCCGTCTTTCACGACCCGTAGTGATGTGAACGTTGGCCAGGCTTCTGCAATCGGGTCTCGGTTCAAACCATTCCTTTCCACAGCAACATGTTGAGATAGGTAATTATTTTCCCTTTATTTTCATTTATAATACATGTGGCTAATATTGAAAATTGAACTTAAAATCTTTATTTTGTCAGAGGGCAGGCAGAATCAGAAAGTAGGTCACAGGTACTGCCCGGTCCTGGTAGTGAAATAGTTAAATTTGGAATTGATATTTCTCATTACCTGCTCTGCCGTTCACTAAATGCAGTCTTTTGAAATACTTGCAAATACAAAATATAGGATTCTGAAGGCCTTCTCTGCTGTAAGCGGACGAAACACCATTTTTCATTTTGGCGCCAAAAATTTTTATTTGCTGAATCAGAGCAGAAAACCTTGTGTGAAAAAAAATCAAAGGGAAACTGACTAGTTTTTTAATAAATTCGAATTCAAATTTCGGAATGACACTATTTTTCCCGGAACTGCTGTGGAGAAAAAAAAGGCATTTTGTCAGCTTTCGGCGGTGCTGTGTATTTATTGCTTCTGTTCACCACTGGGAAGTAAGACTTTGACCAGGAAAAGTATTTTGGTTTTTCCTCACTTTGGATTGAGTTAAAAATTGCTTTTGTTTTCCCATTTCTTTAAAGCATGCCTTTGAAGCATCTTTGAAAGTGCACATAGTATGTAAATAACCCCCCCCCCCCCCCCCCCCCCCCCCCGCCTCCCCTCCACGACAGTTTGCTATCCAAATCTTTTAACATGATACAGTACTGACAGAGCAAAGTATTCTCAAAATCAGTTGTGTTTGTTAGAATTGAACTTTCCTCATGTTCATTGATTTACTTGCATTCGATGTCACTAATAACTGTAATTGTTCTTGCTCATTATACTACTGGTGAAATAAATTTACCTTTTCAACTGGTTCAAAAGGGATTGGGTATTATGTAAACTGGTTCAAAAGGAATTGGGTATTATGTAAACTGGTTCAAAAGGCGCACACCCAAAAGAAGTAGGGAAAACCAGTTGTGCTGGCCAACGTTCTCCTAACCTGGACTAGTGGTAAACAGATCACTTGGTGTTAAGACTAGCAGAGAGAATGCAGGTTAAACTATGTTGCATAGATTGTTTTTGAGTTGAAGAGTTCTGCTACTCATTTTTTGTTTATGATTTTGTATCATGTTCTCTCCTTCTGATATATTCTAAAGTCAGGAATATTTTGCACTAGTACTAGGATAATAAGATTAATATTGTAAGGCAAGTTTGACAGGTTAAAAAATTTTGTTTGAGAAATACTATATCTTATTTCAACTTTCTGTTTTATCACTGTTTGTTTTTACCGTTTTGTCATTCTATAGCTATGGTGTGAAAAATGTGCAAGGTATCAAAGTTCTGTCTGGTGAAGGATTGCCAGGAGACAGACAGTCAGGCATGGTGGAAGCAGGAGGTGTTTGGAAGAGCAGGTGAGTTGCAAACATTCATCCTTACGCTTTGATAAAATGTTTACATTAAGAGAAACTTCTCTTGAAAATTATGCTCTAAGTACTTCCAAAGCTCTATTTCAAATAGATAGCTCCATAAAGTTTGTAACATTGTGAGCCAATACAATGCTTTGAAGATATTTTGAGATGTTTTAGCTTTTTTCATCAAAATGCTCATTTCTTGGTTGTAAAAGCTAAAAACTCAAACACAATTCAAGATGAAATTTGGAGACAAAGTACACCGTGCAATTCCCAATAAAATCATGCTAGCTTTTTGTATTTTAAAAAAAGTATATTTTAAATGATTTTTTTACCTTGCTTTGACTATTTTTTGTTATTCGTATAATATAAAGAAATAAAAAGTAATAAAATTATCAATATTTACAATTTAAAGAAAAGCTAACGTCATTTTCTTAAATTACAAATATGTAATTACTTCATAGATACGATGAGTGGTTTTTGAGTTGTTAGGTTTTGAAAATGATCCTACAGATAGCCCAGTTTCACTCTAATTTGCCGTTTCTTTATGTAACTGATAAAATTTCCCTTGAATGGAATACTTTGAAAGAGTAAGAAAAAACAAGTAAAATTAACTTAATCATAGATTTTGGTTCTAAGGAGTATGAGAATGTGGCCTTATTTACTTTACTTTACTTTTTCATCCTCTGTTGCCTTTACGCGTCGTGGGGAGATACAGTTTTTTTTTATGGTAGGCCAGCTCTGCACCTCTTTCAGTTGTGATGTTATGTTTTCTTAGGGTTTCCTTGACACCCTCGATCCACCTTTTGCGTGGCCTCCCTTTTCCTTTATAGCCTGAGTGCTTGGTGTTGTAGGCTCCTGAGGCTGGTTGGTCAGGTGACGTGCATAACAGGTGGCCAAACCATTTTATCCTCTGTCTTTCTATGTAACGCAGGCAGGACTCAGTGCCGATATCTGCTCTTACTTTTTCATTTCTCTGCCTATTTCGTCTTGTGATGTTAAGGGTTTTGTGGAGACATTTCATTTCGCATGTGGTGATTTTGCTTTCATGGGTTTTGCTTAAAGTCCAGGTCTGGCACTGATAACATAATGTTGGTATGAATATAGAGGTGATAAGCTGTCTCTTTGTGTCCTTGGAGATGTTTGGATGAGATAGGAGGGGTGCGAGCTGTTAGGTGACAGCGTTGGCTTTTTGAGTTCGCATTTCTATTTCTCTGTCTATGGATCCGTTTTCAGAAAAAGTGCTGCCAAGATATTTAAACTCCTTCACCTGTTTCATTTGTTTACTATTGACATGGACGTTCAGGGGACTATGGTTTCGGCTCACTTTCATTACTTCTGTTTTTTATATGCTTATTTTCATGTTGAATTTCTCACAGCTGTTGTTGAGTTCAGTAGTGTGATTTTGGAGGCTTTGTTGGTCATGATGAATAATACATTGGTTGTCTGCGAACAGAAATTCATTTAGGCTTTCTGGGCTTTGGTTTGCGTCTTGCGTTATTGTGTCCATATATATTTTAAACAGGAGGGGAGATAGAACGCATCCCTGTCGTACTCCAGATCTTACTTTGAACCTGTCTGTATTGCCTTAATTCGTTTTTACTGAGCTTCTGCTGTTGGTATATTATTATAGAGCTCTGACATTATCAAACATTTGTCCTCTGACGCCATACTTTTCGAGCGTCTTCCAGAGTTTTGCATGATTTACTCTGTCAAAAGCCCTGTCCTGGTCTATAAAGACGATGTTGGATTCTTTGTTGTGTTTGATTTTGTTTTCTCGCATATCTGTCATAATGTTAATACAGCATCCTTGCTTCCTCTTTCCTTTCGGAATCCAAACTGAGCTTTTCTCAGATTTCTCTCTACAATAGGTCTTAAATGCGCTGCTCTAGTATCTTGCGTATATTTTCCCTGAGTGGCTTATCGAAGAGGTGCCTCTGTATGTTGTGCAGTCACATTTGTTGCCTTTTTTTCCCATAATGGTACCTCTATGGCTTTCTGCCTGTCTTCTGGGCATTTTCTTTGCTCCCAGGCTCTGTTGAAAATTCGCCTCAACCACAGTATACCGGTGTTTCGACAAGCTCTTATGGCTTCCGCTGTGACGTCATCTTGTCATGGGGCTTTGTTCTTGGGGCTGGTCTTGAGTGCCTTTTCTATTTCACTGGGAAGTATTGGTGGTTTTGTTTGATCCCCATATTATGGTTGGAACTCTTCTTGTTGTCCGTGGCAAGCGTCTGGGTTGAGCAGTTCTTGGAAGTAATTTTCCCATCTTTTCTAAATTGCATGTTTGCCTAGAATGGCATTTCCCTCTTTGCCGTTATAATGTTGTATGGGTCTTTCCTTACCTGCATGCTCTTCTCACTTGTATAAAATTCTCTTGGGCTTTCCTTGCAGATTTTGGTCAGTTTCTCGCCATATATTTTCGATGCATTTTAGTGTGGCCTTAAACAATGTGAATCTGCAAAATCTTTTTCCTCATATCAACACTTTGTAATTGATTGATTGGTAAGACACATGTTCCTGTCAGGTCCTCATGGAGAGATCTGATGTGGTTTTTTTCTAACATTGTATTTCTGAAGTTTGTGAAGCTTCCAACTTACTTTTGAAGAGAGGGTTTATTTTATTTTTCATGCCTTCTAAATGATTTCTTCTTTTAAAAATTTCAAATTGGCTTGAAAAATAACTGACTGTCAACATGCTTATAACATTTTTTTAATTGGTTGGTGTATTTTGATTGCTGATTTTATTTGCTTCTATTCCTTTCATCAATTTTAGTTATCAGGTTCGTATCGTATACATTACTGCTGTATTGATGTACGTCTTGTATCCATATTAAGTCGCTCCTTCCAGTGTTTTAAAAAAATTGTCTTTCTGTTTTGTAAAGGGAATAGCATTTTTTAAAAAGCAAGAGCATTCCTACTGAACCAAGCATTAATTATCCCCTATGTTTTTCCCCCACCAGGATGCAGAACATTTGCAATGAAGTGAGTGGGGAATACGAGGAAGAGAACATCTATAAGTGGTACCAGCTTCAAGGAGCCCCATTTAGACAGCTTTTGTGTCGAAATTATTGTGACGATGACGATGGTCTCTCAATGAAAATGCCCAGCCATACTGATGAACTGTAGCTTTTAGATCGCGTTTTGCTGCTTGTTTTGTTGCTATTTAAATGTCTTTTTAAAAAAGCGTCTGTATTCAAAGAATCAGTTATTGTTTTTAAGTTTTTCACAGTAAGTTTCTGTTCAGTTCATTTATTGTTTGATTTTACTTTTCGTAGTGATTTTGCTTGGATTCGAAATAATGTTTTTATATTTTTAGATTGACGTAGACTGAATTTCAGCTGCTTTCAATGTCTGTTCAAATGATGATTGTAAAAATTATCATTTGTGTGGCAATATGTTGAAATATGGCGCTCTTCGTAATAATGAAATTGAACAAGCAACATTTTTCTGGCCGTTGGGCTATTTTTATCTAATTTGTTTGTTCTTAGGTTTTTTTTTGCCTCAACACCTTTTATGTCAATTTAAAAACACAATACTGTGTGGAATTTGTGGAAAAATGTTGATCTAAGGTACAAAGATGTAAATTTGCTATTTCTGAAGGCACTCAAGCTTTGGATGTAAACTTCAGTTTCCATTTTCTTCCTAATTTTACTGCTAGCATCCGTAGATCCCCTCCTCCATCAATTGCAAATATTTCAACTTCTATTCAAGATAGATGAGTATTTTTTTCCCCCAAAGACAGGCTAATGGACTGGCTTTAAGATTTTATCAATTACTCTGTATGCCAAAATATTGATAGACACCTGATTTCATTGTGTCATGACACATTTAATTTGATCTCTGTAGGAGGGGCAGTTTGATATGTTATTGGTTTTAAAAAAATGAAGTCAAAAGTATATCCCTTGTATTATACATGTGAAATACAGCCCGGATTGGGTCCAACAAGGGAAAGTAATGCCGAATAAATGTTTTTTTTCCATTGAACAGTTACCAGTATTTTGACCATTGGGGTATTGTTTATCTGCTACCAACGGCATTTCAAGTTCATGCAAGCGCGTCTGAAGAGGAAAAGAGAAGGGTACGAGGCGGCTTAAAGCCGACTTGTACTTGATTTCATGCAAATTAAGCCCCCTCTGGCACATCAAAAATTCTCCCAGTATTATACAGTGGAGTCCACTTATAACGAGTCCGAAAAAAACGAGAAGTCTGTTATAAAGACACTAGTCTAAAACCCTGTTTTTTTCTCCTCTTTACCTTTGTAAATAAAATACTGCTATAGCGCTATCAAACAAACATGCGAGTCGGTTATACCGGAATATTGCTGCTGCTGTGCTCAGTGCATAGGCCATTGCAAAACCTCGCCAGTTGAGAAACTTGTTGGTGATTTTGCGAAACAAAGAATAGGAGATCCAAGTGTGTCAACAACGAAGTCCCGAGTGACTGAGTAGGGAGGGTGTGGCATGCACAGACAAGCAGAACGCATCGCGTGATAGGCCAGCGTAAGCCTAGTTTAGTTATCAAGGCTTAACGACGTGTCTACACAATGGAGACCCGGCCCGGCCTGCGTACCTCCCCGCCCTTCACGTAGAGCAGCCGGATGATCTAACACACAATAAAAATTGTAATTGCAGCCACAGTGAACTCCCGGCCCATTTTTTTCATGTCCCATCTACCAGGCGTCATTTCTTCGGGCCGGAAGCTTTAACGTCTGAGCTTAATTTTCCTCCCGTCTACCACCCAGTTGGCCTGCAAATTTTCAACATGGACTCATCGACAAACGAAGCACTGATTGCAGCTGTGCAAAAAAGGCCAGCACTCTACGATAAAACATGCGACCTGTACTCCAATCGAATTTATCTATGAGAGGTCCAATTATTTCCAGAAGGATTTGAAACGTGCTTGGCTTCATGCGGATATATGACACACATTTTTCTTCATCACTTAAAACTTTTTCAATAAAGTGATAATATTCACCAAACATAGGTCTTTCTTTAAAAATCTTATGAACCCAGTATCGCCTTTTCGATAGAGACTGCCTTCTTTTTAGCCACAACATTAGTAACAACTGGTGCTTTGCATTTTCCATTTTGTTTTGCAATACGAGGGGTTGAAACGGGCCGGGAGGTGTGTTTATAAGTCCCGTCTACCTCCCCTCCCGGCCCTTCTATCTCCTGGCCCATAAGAAGGGCCGGATCTCCACTGTGTTTATACCCTTACCATGCCTTTCACTTCTCCGATGCGTGGATGGAGAGGTCACAGCAATGTGATGGATGGAGCGAATGTGTGACGTGCACAAGCAGACAAAGCCCCACAGGGTGGGGTGGGGGAAAACACAGCGGGCGAGTTAGCCCAGGCCCCTTTCTTTCTGATCGCCAATGCCGAGCTGTCAGTCCACATCGCTAGATCTAGCGCTAGAAGAAGAAACCTGATTCAATTTTTGATCAAGTAAGACCTAGAGGTCATGTTGAAACAAAATCATCATCTGAGAGATAGCAAAAGGAAATAAACAGAACACCAATCTCATAGATTAGGCCTACTCTACAGTTTCCCTTGAATTTATTACTGGATCCCTTATAGCGAGAATCCTGCTATAACGGACATTTTACTCCGGTCCCCTCCCTCTCGTTATAACCGGATTCCACTGTATCATGTATAACCTTGAAATAATGGGCTGTTTTTGAAGTCAAAAGTTTACCTCCAGTATTATATGCAAGGTCATTTTACATATTATTTTGAAGGCTGTGCAGCAGTTATTTTTGCTCAACTTATTCATTACATTTCAAATCTTATTGTTTTCTTTGATAGAGTCCATGAATGGACTTATGAGAGTAAAATGATCTTAATGGTTGGCATTGAATTTCAATGCTGAGATACCAGTAACAGTTGTGCAGTTGTAAGTAAGGAAACTTACTTTCATTTTTATTATTTTGTACTGAACAAAAAGAACTTTGTGTAATGACAATTGTATTGTGTCAGTAGGTAGGCCTGCCTAGATGGCATGACCATAGTGTCATTAAAAAATGAGTTAGACTGGTCTTTTTATGGGTATTCTTTGATTTTGAGCTTGTTTTTTAAGTTTATTTCAGGGTTTGAAAATAACAGGTTGTAGACTGGGTTATGCTTTATTAATTCTATTTTAAACTTGTAGTTTGTCCACCGACCTCACCATGTTGAAAGTTTGGTGAGTCTAGATATTGTACATTGACTTTTACAAAGGAAAATTACTTATGTTCACGAAAATTAACTTTGGTATCCCTATTCTATTATCAAAATAGATACGTACAAGTTGTTGCATGTATGGTTCTCTTGAAGCTGGAAATTGTCAGGATTTGGCTTCTTTCAGGATTTAAAGCAAAGAGGGTATTTTGGGGGTTTTGTCTGTTTTTATATTATACATAATATATTACCAGTTGTTTTTATGAGTTAAGTGATCCTTTGAAATATACTCCTTTTTGGTTTAGCTTTCTGTTGTTATCAGCACTGAGTATTGCGAAAGTCATGTTTTTGTGAAGCTACTTACTGCGAGAAGAAAGTATGGATTGGGGAAGCATCACTTTTTTTTCATTTCATGCTCTCCATCTTGAACCCTTAAACCTTATACCGCTGGTAACCGCTGACACCATATTTTCCTATACCGCTGGTAACCGCTGGGCAACTTTATCGTTTAATTCCCAGTGCTAGAAACAGGGGATGTAACTCCAGATGACTCTGTCACGAGCAGAAAGTACCGATAATGTCATGAGAGCAGTTCTACACCGAAAGTTAGGAAATTTTGCAAGTTTTTAAGAAAAATTAGTCACTGTTCGCTGCCAGGCCCTTCAGGGCGCAACATTTTTGGCTTTTTTGATCTTCAACCAGACCCCAATAATGATCTCCCAGTCAGATATATCGATAAATATAACTGTTGAAGACGATGGCAATCTTTTCCATAACATCAATGATGATTTTGACGATAAAGGAAGTGGCCGGGGATCACCACTAGAGCTACCAGAGGCTAGATCTACGGCTGGGTCTAATGATGCTTTCTCTGAAGTGGAGTCAGGGATCACACACAAGACTTAATTCATGGAGTTGGTCCTAAAAACCAGTATTTTAACCTTTTCCCCTTTTGTCCAGACTGTGCATTCATAATATAAATAACGTTTTCAAACTTCAGTAAAATCTAACAAAAATTGTTTAAGACAGGATTTGAGGGAGGTATGAAAAAAAAAGAATTCAGGGTTTTAAGGGTTAAGTATTTGATGCTCTGATTCTGAGTCGTTGCTATCCAGAAAAAAAACAGAACTCTTGCCAAAGCACCAATCTCAAAATTGTTCATGTTTGATCACTCAGTTACTTTTTTCTATTTATGGATTTTTGATCTGATAATTTTGATACACGTTGGACATTCCTGATTCTTTGCATTTACTGTTTTTTTAACTGAGAGGGAAAGATCTATTTTTGCTTATTTTGAAATATTTGTTTGAACAACTTTGCTACTCTGCCATTTGTTTTTTGAGACAATGTGTATGTTGATTTCAGTCAATGTCCCGTCCAGTCACTTTCAATTTTAAAGAAAGTTTCTTTTTACATCCTTCCAGTATTACTATATGTTTCAGTTGAAGCAATTTGTGGTGATGAACAGGTTAAATCACATTCTTTTCTTGCCATGTACTCATTTAACTTTTTTTCATTTGATTATACTTTAGCCCGATATGAGATTAAATTTTTTTTTTCCTAGTTTTTTTTTCTGTTGCTCATCCCTCTTTTCAGTTCTTACTGTGGTATTATTGTTATTTTTTTAAGGTGAATTGTTTTTCTTTTGTTTGCCAATGAATGGAAGAGAGTATTGCATTCCATTTGTACCATTTTGTACTCAGTTTTTAAAAATAATTTTGTACACCAAAGATTGTGAGCTCACGTCAGATGTCTCAAAAGTTTTATTGTGCTGTTGCACCTAGTATATCATTTTAATATTATATAATCATAGCATGTTGATATTTTTACTAAGCTGCTGATTACCAAAAATGCCTGCTTCCTATGTAAAGTGACAGAATATTGTGTTCCCGAGGACCTGTCCATGCAATGGCAAACATTATAATTAATTAAATTTACCTATGACTTTCTTACTTCAGCTGTGCTATGCATGCAGTTGGGAGGTGCAAGATCCACAGCATCTGTGGTGTAATGGTCATATCTTCACAGTTGCTTGCAAAAGTCACAATTTCATTTCGTTATCCAGTGTCTACATCTTTTTACTGGGGAGCTGTATATCCTACACAACCTGAATTGGCCCTCCCAAATGATCCACATTGTGTAAAGGAGCCAGACGCTTAAAAGCACTGGGAATTTTTTTCTTTTGAATCTTTTTATAAAATTATGTTTTGTTTTAAACAATGTGCCTCATGAAGGACATGTGTGTCAACTATCAGTAGCCGTCCAGTAATGACCAAAAGCTTCGTGATTAAAAAAAAAAAATTTTAAGTTTTTTTTTTGCCTGATTGTATTAATTAATACTTCTCTAGAGTTTACTATCTCATAAAAATAAAAGGTACTGCAAGTAAAGGAAATGTCCCCCGGCATTCAATTGTTGGTATAATGCGCAGATGTTTTGAACACACTCGTACCGAAATGGGGCCACAGATGTGATATGAGGTCAGTTTCTTACTTAGTACTTTCTATTTTAGTCTGTATTATTAACTGCACTTTGACTATGGTGTGTCATATTTCTTTTGTTTTTAAAATTTTACTCTGCTCTTCTTTGTGGAAGCGATAATTGTATAGTATTAGAACTAACTGGGTTTTTGGCAATAAAATATTTTGGATTTAAAACTCATTTGTTCTCATGTTCTTGTGTATCTTTTTGGTGGTAATTAATGTTGAAGTCTGACTTTATTCAATTTCAAATCTTTTCTAATGTAAGTTTTTTCTCCAAATTTGACATACTGTACATTGTATATATGACATTCTACAGAGTACCTGAAGTATGAATATCAGTATGCTGAGACTGATTAGCAGAGAGTATAACAATACCGCTAAAGAATTGGTTGGGTTTTTTTTTTTGGGGGGGGGGGGGGGGTTATTTACTCTGATGCCAGGTAACATAAATGGAGTAATGGAGCATCATGGTCTTTTGGCTAAAAAAAAAGTTGTTGATCATAACTTCGACTTGTAGGTAACCTTTCTGGTTCTTGTCGTGAGCTATCATTTATTAATTAAATAGTGACAATTCCAGATGTTGATCACTGATATATGAACATTTTGTTGCTGAAGACATGCATCCCATCTTTGAGCGTAGTGAAGAGGAGTAAAGTAAAATAAGATTTGAAGTGATTAATTGGGAATCTAGCGCTCACCCTGGGTTTGAAAGAACACCAGAGATTCCGCATGCTGTTCTTTCTCGATGTCTTTTGTTTAAATTACTGGTGTTAATTTATAAATGATTTTGTTGTTTTGAGGATTTGATAAGTCTGTAATTCCCTCAATGAGGATTCTTTAGATAATATTTTATTTGATAAATCTTAGAATATAATATAGGTGGTGATGGATGGTTGAATCAGAATTTGCCTAATTTCGTGACACATCAATCTACCGCATTATTGACCAGCATAGAATTAATTCCTTAATTTTTCTCCAAACTCTAAACAATGTTCTTGGCTGTTCAATTGTGTGACTGAAAGCTGAATTCCCCAAAGCAACAGGGCGTTGGACTACAGAGCGGATGGCATGATTCTAATCCCTAGGCTCATGGGTTGTTTTGAATTTTGGTTCTCTTGGGGAGTTTTTAAGGCCAAGGCTCTCCGCTTTGACTTGGTCGTTTTGGAGATGGTGTACGTTAAATTTGTAGGTTCTGCCTCTTGAATTAGTAACGTATTGAAATTGAAAGAGATGTTTAACTTAATTATAGACCTCTAATGACAATGACAATAGATGGCCTAATAATAGGCCTACTTATTACAATGTTATGATGATGATGGTTATTGGGTGTATCGTTGTGTTTCTTCTGTCAAGAATTGTTTCAAAGACAATAGTAGGCCCAGGAGATTGTGAAGAGTAGTGACACCAATGTGTGTGTTCTGGGTAGGTGGGCGAATGTGCAGTGCAAGGACTGTTGGCCTTCAATAATAAGTCTTAGGCCTTTATTTTGGGTGCTAGAGTTAAAGAAAGTGCGGGAGGGATAGATAGATAGATAAAAAGATAGAGGAAAGGGAGGGGAGTGAAACAACGAGGGAGAGAAAGAGAGTGACAGAGACAGAGGGGAGAGAGAGAGACAGACAGAGGGGAGAGAGAGACAGAGGGGAGAGAGAGAGGGAGAGAGAGAGAGAGAGAGGGGGGGGAATTTAAAGGGTAATATATAATAATACGGGAATTATTGGAAACAAGTAGCCGGGCGCTGTTGTTTAAGGTAAAGGCCTATCTTCTTTTTTTGTGTGTTTTACAGCCCTCGCAACTGCATAGACATAAAGTCATATGAGCGCGCGGGACTCATTAAATATTTTAAGTTTGGTAGGGATTAATCTTCAATTTTGCCTGGGTGATGGCCACTGCCTACTCTTGTCGATTTGGACCGCCAAGGGATTTTTTAACGGCACAACTTGCACGTACGAGACTTCCGCGATTTTCTGCCCTTTACTGAGAAGGCTATGCGGCCTAATAGGTAATAGGTGTTATTGTTTTATAAGATTAGGGGTGTGGCTGAAAGACAGAGAATATAAGGCTAAGGAGTAGCAGGTAGATCTAGTAGAAATTAGACTGCACAAAAAGTCAGGAGCCCAGAGGAGGTGGCAAAGGGGAGCGTGGGGCAGAAATTGAAGACGAAAACAAACGACAGAACAATAATAATATGGTGAGAAAGCAAGAGAGAGACCACGTCGAGAGCCCATGGTCTATCTCGAGGATACCGGAACTAAAGTGGTAGCCTCGGTCTATCTCCAGTAACAATAATCGGGTAGGCCTAATTGAAATAATTACTTCATATTTTATACTATGGAGAAAAAGGTAGACTTTTGGTCTTGCCGACAACTGGAAAAAAAAAGGGGGCGGGGTAGGGGGAGGGGCAGGCGCAAGCCTCTCTCTCCCGGCGTGCGCAGCTTTTGCAATCTATTTTTCAAAAAAAGGAAACTAATATAAATTAATAATATGCTCTGTGTACCGTACACAGAATTCTGCACTTAGTGTGTATTAGGTCTTAAATTATTTTCCCTTCTCTTGACCCCTGATCCCCCCTCCCTCTTTCTTTTTCTCATGAGATAAACAGTAGCTCTAAAGCTATGTTCGAGTTTTCGTGGAAAGAGGCGAACATAAAATTGTAGGATTGCGATTTCTTTATTTGTTTTGCTACCGTTAGTGATAGTGAAGGTAACTTTTGTATTTTTTTTCCGGTTGCAGTTTTATGTAAACAATAGAAACTAGAAACCGTTCTTCAGTCAGTCTTGACTCTGCTACTCTACTCTCAGTCTACAATCTTTTTGCAGTTAGGCACACTAAGGCCTACTAAACATAACCTAAACACAGTCGCTTTTTCTATTAATTTGAACTATTTTCTCTCAGTGAAATCAGCATGGCAGCCTATCTCTTGTCCCAGTTAGTGCAAGCAAGAATCTCAATTATTGTTTTGCTTGCCTGTTCTTTCAATGTAGTCTGGAGTGGAGAGAATGAAAAGCTTCGGGAGGCAATGATGAATTCTGCTAGAGCCCAAGGTATTGACCCAGACAACCTGAAGCCCGGCCAGATGTTAATGACGCCGCCAGACATGTCTGATGAAGAAGAGGGGTCGCAATTTATGCCGAAAATTCACAGATGTGATGGTTGTCGTGCTGTAGCTTATCAGGTAAAGTTAGTCTTCTATTCACACTTTTCTCCTTCGTGGTGTCTTTTTGTGGCTTTAGATATTAGATCAACTGGAAACTAGATCTAGACTTCTAGATCTAAATCTAGATCTAGAATTACCTTCCTGAGAGGTTAGTTTTCATTAGCGCTACTGGTTACTTTTTTGCAAGCTTGTGGCTATTCTCCGGCATCAAGCCGGTCAATAGATCAGAAGCTATTCTCCGGTGCCACACGCCGCCGGTCTTTTACTAGATCCAGATCTAATAATTTGTCGGCGAAGATTTGCAAATACCTCTCTCATCTGTTTGTCTTGGAGAAAAATTTCCACAACTTCATCACTTCGTGCCATTTCCATTGATAGAGATAGGTTTTCGGACACGAACTGTCCTCCAATTTAGAATTATGTTGGGTGCTAGAAGAAACATATCATGTTCACCACTAGTGACGTGAGTTCATAACAAAGAGTGAGCATAAGAAGGAGTCACATTTTCACTGTTTACAAAAATGGAGATACGACAAGAAAGCACTGAAGTCGCGAAATATCACTTAAATTTATTGAAAATTACAACAACAACAAATAAGTAATACGTTAAACAGCAAGCTATACTATGTGACTAGACAGGATTTTAGACTCAGAATCAATTTTGTTCGTTTAAATAAACAAAATCATTATTTTAAAATAAGCAAATGGACGACGGAAATAAATGAATAAAGTTATGTTAGACAATTATCATCATAGATAAAATATAATGAAAGGTAGACTTACTAGGCCTAGTTATGACGCCGGAGAATAGCTTCTGATCTATTGACCGGCACGACAGCGGAGAATAGCCACTTGCAAATGCTTTTTATTTACCTGCCAAATTCCTCACCCTCAATTCTTGCTCTCCGAATTTGAACCAGGCCAGAAGGTCCTACCATCTGGTATGTATCATGAAAACATATAGATCTATATATAGAACTAGATCTACATCAGCTTTGTTTGTATCTGGTTGGAAGGACTTCCGTAATGAGCGACCACCTCAACAAACACAATAAAGAAGATCAAGATCTAGCCCTTACCCTCCAACCCTTATATCCCAACCCTAGCCCTACTCCCACCACGTACTCTACGTTTACATCACTCTTCGGGAAACTTGTCCCGGCGTACCTCCATAGAAATAACATTATAATCGGAGAAAAAAAAACGGAAGTCGAGAAAAAATGCTGGCTGAGTGTATTTATTATTTGGGGGGGGGGGGGGGGGGGGGGCAATTTTTTAAAGTTCAATTTTTCAATATTTTCTACATTATTTTTTTCCTCAATGGGTGGCCTTTTTCTCCCTGTCAATTCAACCAGCTTTTTTACTCAACTTCCGTTTTTGTTTCCGATTGTCTATAGAGTTAGGCCGGGACCACTTCTCCCGAAGAGTGCCTACCTCTACCCCTACCCCTACCCCTATCTCTACCCTTACCCCAAATCCTAGCCCTAACCTTAACTTAACTGTAATCCTCTATTTTACTCTGTTTCGTAATCGCTATTTACAAAATTCCTCCCATCTGGTTGGGAGCGATGTCTGTTGACAGAAGAGAAAGCCTAAAATATGGGAATGACAGTCATTTAGAATAGAAGGATTTAGATGTGTATGGCTGTGTTATAACTTATGTTGTTATAAATATAATGCACCAATGATACCATGTGAACTCTGCTATTTCTGCAAGCCTTAAATGTAACGCGATTGGAAATTAATGCATCTGGATTCCTTTCTCCTCCGCCTGTTGATTCAGCTCATTTTCAAACCACTAGAGTCCTTTCAATAATTGTTTCTCTCATGAGGCTGCCCCAAAAATCGACATACAGTTGGTCATAGATATAAAACATAAACTCACAAAACTCGAAATCATAGGCGATAGCTGGTGTACAATTTGCCATTCCTGGACTGAACGGCTGTTTTCTTTGTATTGGCAACACTGTTTTCTTAAACTCCCATGGTTATATCAAACAGCTTGTCTCATAAAACCCAATCACATTTTTCCTGACTATTGTCTCGAATTCAAATCATCTTGTGGGCACAATGCATAACACCCCTCTATTGTCATCGAAAGTATCTGTCAGATCACACATATTTTATTCAGGCTCATGCCCGCTCAAAATTACAAAAATGAATTGCTGGTAATGAGACATATCATCACACATTACCTGTAGTGTAAAGCTCTAGGCTAGACTTTCTTTCTATCTGGTCATGTGAAGGTGGATGCTAGATGGTGAGGTATGATCAAAGACAAACAATGTTTCCCTGCTTTGGGCCATATATGGTTTGTGAATTTTGTTTGGGTTTGTGTGCTTATGTGTGTGTG